TTTTTAATCTCCTAGAAATCTGTTTGTGTCTGTATTGTGGATTCCACTTGTTTCTTATATTGGGATTCCTTCATGTTCCTCAACTCCTATTTTTTTTTTTAATCTGTGTTTGCTCTAGATTTTTTATCATGTCTTGCACTATGGGCACAATCTGTACTGTTATTTGAGAAATTATTTCTGATTTCATTTTTTCCAGATCCCCTTTCATTGTCAGTTCAGGGAGTCCAGGTAGTTGAGTATCAGATTGTTCCATCTCGTTTCCTTTTGTGGTTGCCTTAGGTGATGTGGAAGTGTGGTTTTGAGACTTGTTTACGTGTCTTCCCATTTCAGCAGATACAGCCTGCTGAGCCTTTGTTGAGGCACCTTTTTGCTCACCCAGTCGTCTTCAATTCTCAGGAAGCCACCAAGGGACCTTTTCGTTGCTGCTCATCAGTACACTAATTCCTGGGTTCAGAATGGTGTCCTTCTGGATTCCTTAACTGACCTTTTGTCTGGGTGGCCTTCTGGCTGGGGCCTGTGCACACTTGGGACAGTATCTAAGTGTGCCTCTGCCTAGGACCCTTATGTAGCTGTTGTTGGGGAGGGCCTTTGGCTGGGGGCTGTGCACTCTAGTTGCTGTTGTCTGAGAGGTTTTCTGCTAGGGTCTCCACACACTTACCTATGGCGGCAAGCCTCTGGCTACTGCTTGTGTACCTGTGCAGCTCTTTTCTAGGTGGGGCCTTGGCTTTGGCCTGTGTTCCAAGCCACTGGGGTCAGAGCAGGGCCCTGGCTGGAATATGCCCATAGCTGTGCCACTCTCGTTCACACCATTTCTCACTGGGATCTGTGTGCACTTACTGATGGTCTCACGTATTCAGTTTCTTGCTCAATCATTTGTCAGCTATATACATTTACACAAGCATTTAAATCTCCTTGTGCCTCAATTTGTTCGGTAAATACGGGCATACTTGTAGCACTTGTTTCTTATATATGCCATCTATTTTATTGGTCTCCGTAAATGCATAAGCCACGTCAGTCTGTCTGTCTGTCTACCTATCTTCATTCCCTCCTCTTGGCTCTTGAACCCTAGGGTTTTTTTAGTGTTTAAGGCTGGCTGTGTAGTGTCCATGCAGTAGAAATGTACTTACATGATCAGCTCATATTGATGGATCCACACCACTAACAGACTTTGGACTTCTTGCTACCAAGATGCTTCATGTTAGGCCCACCAAAGTTGAAAAATTAGAGAACTGTGAGTTCTGTGAGATGAATACTATGGCTGAGGTGGCCACATCTACCCTGCAATATATATGTCTTTTTCCTTTTGTTATTGCATTATGTCATACTGAGCGTAAACTGCTTGAGTTTTCTCATTTCTTTCCTTAACTCCGTACTTAACATAAGCAACACATTTCTCACTGTCAATAGTTTTAAATCATGTCTATAAAATGCAGGAAATAAAAGTAGTTTACTAATCCTTTGAACTATGCCTGGGCTTTTAATATCTTCCAGGAAACCTAACCTAGTTTGAGTTGAACCTCTTCTTATAATATGCTCTATCTCATATAAATAATATAGGGTTAAGAAACACTTGTACCCTGAGATGTTGTCACTTTAAAATACTTATTTCTCTGATAAGTTAAAAGATGCATATTAATGGGGCTTCATCTATATTATTAGTTCACAGATTCAGGCATAGGTATTCAAAGCTTAATAAAGTAAAGCACATGAATAAGTAAGATAAAAATGATTTGCTACACCTGTGAGTGAACAACATCACAGGAATTTATTTTACGACTGATTTATATCCACATGCTGGCGCATATTTCATATACATTTCCAGGAAATAAAAAAATACTTAATTTCTAATACTTAAAAATCATTATAATCCAAATCTGTTTTAATTTGCTGACCACCTTTAGCTTCAGATCTTCCTCCTGGCTCCTTAAAGCCATGAGGTCTACGTATTTCTTTCAGATCTGTGCCTTGTAGTTAGAAAAATTCAAACTAAACCCAGTAACTTTTTAGATAATGTCCCCACTTGAAAATATGTTTCAATAACTACTATCTGTCATATTGAGGTTCCTATTGAATAAGAAATACAGAACCTCATATATTTTAAATTTCAAAAGTACATTTCATTAAAAATACAGGACTAAATTTCCAGATACAGCTCAGTGGTAGCACATTTGCCTAGCATGTGCAAGGACCTGGTTTCAATTCCCAGTACCTCAAAAATAAATAAACAAGTGTGTGTGTGTGTGTGTGTGTGTGTGTGTGTGTGTGTGTTTGTGTGTTTTGTACTGGGGATCGAACTCGGGTCCTTGGGCTTGTAAGGCAGGCACCAGAACCTTTGAGCTAAATCCCTGGCCCACAAGGGCCGTTTTTGAATCTTGTTTTTACATTAGAATCTTATGAAGAGCTACTCTCTGATAATACACTCAGAGGATTCAAATACTATTTTTTTAAAGTTAAAATTGAGCAAACACATTTTGTTCATAGTCTGTTAATTTAGAAGCTACATTAATTTCAATAAATTAAGATCCTGGGTTAAAATAATTTGGGAGGAGTGAAGGAATCTGAAATTCCCATGGTTCCACCAAGATTTTTACAAAGTCAATGAGAAAAAAATTTATGCCTTTTAAGAACAAAAGTGAGCACTCAGTAATCTCGAGGTCAGATAAGTAGTATGAATGGGAAGATTGATCAGAAAGAAGGGATCTTCAGAGGATCAGGATACCATGGGAGAATTTCTGAAGAAAAAAGATCTGTAACAGGTTCTATAGGACAAGGATGTTCTAAATAAAAGACAGCATTTTAAACAGAAGAAAATGGTGGAAAGAAAGACTCAAAGTGTCTCATTCCCAAGTTAAGCCTGAAGCATGGTAACTACCACATGACTACACCAAAGCATCAAATGAATATAAAGGCAAGTGGTAAGACCATCACATGACAAAAGATGTTTAACACCAGACCGAGAAGTATGTTTCTCACACAGAATGGAGGGCCACTGACAGTGTCTGAAGGAGAGATGAATGTGATGGATGAAGAATTATTATTTTGACTACTTGTGTAATCATTTTTCTACTACTAGGAGTAAACAGAAAGTCAACCCTGTTTCCATGATAGCCTGTCATATATTTGAAAACTGTAATTATGGTCTTCCATTAGGAAAAAAATTAAGACAATATGAAAAAAGGGAAAAAGAGAAATCAGGGAGATCATTAAGAAGCAATTTGCAACCCTTACAAGCTTTGATAACAACACAAAATTATGTGATCAACAGTCAGATGTGAAAGGGATGGCTGATTTCATGTCACTACAAACTTTTCTGACTGAAAAATGTTCTTACAAGTTGAAAGTGTATCACCCTTACTTAATGTTTTCATCTATCTTAAAGTCTAACGGGCAGCTCCAAAACAAATGTAATACTGAAACTGGAAAGTGCTGACTGCAGAACAGAGGGTGTCTGGAGAAAGACAACTGTATTTACTTAGGAGTTCTATGCAGCTCTGAGAGAGCATTAATGGTTTTTCCTGTACACTTTGTCAGGATTGTGGATGTTCAACAGAAGTACCCTAGAAGCATCAACAGACTGCCTATGTAAGTCATTCAGGTCGATTCCTAAAATTGGCTTTCAGCACCAAACAGTGCTTTCTTACTGGAAAACTCTAACACTTGAACTCATGCTTGCACACCATCAAATTTAACTCTAATGCTGCCCTCTATGTTAACTCGTTCATATTTTCAGAATGTTTGGTAGTTTCACAATCTATGACGAGACACTAAACCACTTTCATAATTACACGTACTAAATGCATCCTTAATGTGTTCCATTATAGGGTTCTGGAAAAAAAATACTGCTATAATTTTCTTTTTTTTTTAATTAACTTCATTGGTACATTTTAAATACACATTATGATCACGTTCATCATTGGGAATTTGTATCTGTAGATGATATATCTTAGTTCTGCTTTTGTCCCATTCCCCTTCACTATGTCGTACCCCTCCCTATTTAAAAAGCTTTGGTTCAACTTCCCTTCTATGCCCATGTTTATAGTGGCAGCTAAATCTTGGAAACAAGACAAATGCCCATCAACCCAAATACCTATCAACTGATGACTAGATAAGAAAGATGTTTTTTAAAAAATGGAGTACTAGTCAGCCATAAAGAATGATAATCTAGAGAAATTAATAGCTCAACAAATAGATGTATATTGAGGCCATACTCTTAAAGTGAAATAAATAGGACACACACGTATAAATATCGAATTGTCTCTCTGGTGTGAGAAACTGGAAGTGTAAATGAGGACCAAAATGTTTAACAGACAATGTGAAACAGGAAGCAAAGGTTCAAAGGAGAAGAGGAAGCAAGGCACATGGGGGAAAGGAAAGAAAAAATGCTATTTTTACAAAGTAAAGTATTATCAAATAAACTGATTTCAAACCTACACCTTAGGACTGCTTCCTTATTCATTTTCTATCCAATTAAGTAGAAAAGTTACAGTTTATCCAAGATTACTATTAGCCAAATTATTGGTCTAAATACAGTGGCATTTCAGCTCATGAGTTTAATTCTTTCCAGGATTCTGGTTGCAAACTGAATTGAATAAGAACCAAATCAAATTAATTGGTTGGGGTTAATGTTGACCTTATGGGGAAATTTGATGCAGTTCTCATCCAATTCGGTTTGCAACCGGAATCATAGAAAGAATTAAGTTTGAACCAAGATACCACTGTAATCTGTCTCATTAAATATACGTGTAATTGATTTTATAATTATATAATTGGTTTTGTTAAAAGGATTTAGAATCTAAATTGAAATTTATTAAAGCAACAACCAGAAATGCTGTCTGCACATTAACACAGCTCTATAACTAACCATATTGCTTCACACTGTTTTTGGTGTTCAAATAAAATTTACATTGTAAATACTTACCTTTCTAGGTGAAAGTAGAGAGAGCCAAAATCAACAAAACAAACAGTGATCAAACTGCCTATCAGTGAAGCTACGTATTTACCTGACGGTGCCCTTGGTGTTTCTCAAAACTGTCGCAGCAAAATTCTGTGTGACGCCTACCAGGCTGATTCCATCCACCTCCACAATCTGGTCATTGACCTGTATTCTTTAGGAAAAAAATGATCCACAGTTAATTTATCTGATCATTCACTGACATTCCTAATAAATGAGTTGACAAACATTTAACTGTTCAGTATTTTTATTGATTCAAAATTAATTTTTATATATAATAAACTCCAGATATCAGTCAAATGGTTAATGGTTTTTGAAACTATTTGAAAAGATGGAAATAAGTAATGCCAAGTAGATTTGGTATACCACACATCCATATTCCTATGAAAAAGCTGCATTTTTCAATGTAAATTTACGACATATTAATATACTTTTTACCCTTAACTAATTAAAATATAACAGGCCCACTGAAGAGGATATTTCAGTGATCCTGTTATATTTTAATTAATTCCTCATCTTTAAAAAATTTTTTTTTCATTTTATTATTTTTTTAATTGAATTTATTGGTACATGTTAGGCAGACAGTACAGTTCTATTCATCACTGGGATCTTGTACCTTTACATGACAGGTCTTGGTTCTCATTTTTTCCTCTGTTCCTCATCTTAATGCTCCTCCCCCCAATGAAAAACATACACAAGATTTCCAAGGAGTTCTGCCTACTATAGTTGTATACTTCAGATAGGTAGTATTTGTGTGTGGCTGTGTGTGCATTTTCTTATAAATACAGAGGTGTGTTTAATTATTTACTTATGTTTTTGATACATATATTATATGTTTTTAGTGTATAATACTTTAAATTTATAATGTATCTTCTATATGTGCCATTTTTACTCCTCGTAATGAAATGTTTTAAACATGAAAGGTGTAGAAGGGAATTAGTAAATGCTTATGTACCCAATACCTAACTTTATCAACTTTTATTTGAATCATAGTTTTATCTACTGAAAAATACATTATTTAAAAGTTGTAGCCCTTTTATTTTTTTCTAATTTTATTCCTTTCACTGTTTCCACGGAGATAACCACCATACTGATTTTTGTGCTTAGCTTTTCTGCTGGTTTTTTGAAATAAAAACAATAAATGAAAAAGAATAAGCATAATATGAGTGTATTATATGTTTTCAAAAATTAAAAACTATACCTCTCTTTTAACAACTTAGTTTCCTTCATCCTGTATTATATTTAGGATTTAACTATAGCTACTATAATTGAAATTCTAGCTAATTCATTTTAACAACCACATAGTATTATGTTTCACAAATATTTCAAAATACATTTATCCATTACTTTACAGATGGACAACTGTGTTGTTTTCAATTTTAATTATAAATACAGCTATAATAACCAATTTCATACATGTCTTCTTATACAAACACGAGTATCTCAAGGGTATACCTAGAAATGAAAATTACCAAGTCAAATAATATAGGTAACTTCATATTAGAAATTAACAAAGCTTGGGCCAGGGATTTAGCTCAGTGGTGCCACCACCTGCCTCACAAGAACAAGGTCCCAATTTGATCCCTGGTACCAAAACAAAACAAAAAAACAAGAAATTAACAAATTTTTACAACCTTGGAAATTGAGTAAGCATAATCTAATTGGTTTATATACAGAGTCCACTAAAGATAATATATACACACATCAAGGAAAGATAAATTGTATGCTGTTTTTCTGACAGGCAGTGTTACCTTCATGTGGGGAAACCCGAGAGGATGTCATACATTGCAGAAAACCCACTACATAGCCAGTCCTTAGGGGAGAAACTGAAAAGACATATTCAGCAATCTCAGTGACCAAAGTTGCCCTAGCAGCATTTTGCCACACGAATAAATGTTGGGAAGCTAATGGCCACCACTTTGAATGCTATTTGCAATTATAGAGGTCAAAGATAACATATTAATCTCATGTTGTCTCAATAAATTTGGTATTAAAATATTTATACAAGTTTTTCTTTTCCTAAAGTGTGTATACATTTTGGTGGACTCTGCAGTATAAGCAATTCACAAATCTAATGCTTTAATATCTAATGGAAACTTTAAATGTGTTAGCCATTTAAGGAAAGATTCTACAGGACCTCCAAGCAGCACAGAAACATTTTATGTGACAATATATAAAATCATATGATAAAAGAGAACCTTTGTACAAATCAGAATAATAGTTTTTATCTTAATATATAGCTATGTTTTTTCCATTGTTTTGAAGAGATATGAGTTTATATTTTCATACAGAAACTCATTAACCCGACCTTCTTTTAATTCTCACAGTAACTGATGTCTAAAGTAGTAATATCCACACATTCAGTGCCCATCTAAACATGATTTCTAAGATTCTTATTAATCTTCAAAACCTTGATCACCAAACATATCTCTTCTAAATAGCTCTACTTTTTAAATTAAAAAGTTCTAAAATCTGCATCATGTTATTAAAATTATTCATCCATGCCACGTTAAGAAAATGAAAATAGTGTGCATGGCTACAAAGAATATTTGCTAGTCAGCTAAACAGCTTGTGCATAACAGGTAATTATGATGTTCTCATCTACCTGGGATGGTTAACTAGAAGCTAACTGACTAGTCTCCAAGTTAGAGATAATATGAGTAACTGGGTCTATGCTAGCAGTGTTAAGAAAAGGTACAGTTGTGGAGGTAAAATAATTAATTTTTATTTTTTATGAAAAAGGATACTAAATTAACCTTAAAATGAACATAAAAACCAAAACTTTTATGTGTATGCAAGACAAGTAATACTCAAGTGATTTTTATCTATCTGGGTTTATAACATCAATTACCAAAAAGAACCTATAAAATTGGTTTAAATTTTGATAAAATACATTCAGTTATAAAAGATTTATCCACATAATAAATTAGAAGAAAAGAGTATTGTTAGGGAATTGATTGTTAAAGTATGCTGTGACCCCGCCAGCACAGGCTGCATTCTCCTGGTGCTTCTTGGCTCTAAAATGACCTCATGCTCTTATCTTTAGTTTCCCTCCCACCAAGGCCACAGCTAGTCAGAGAAGTTAAACCTGTTTCTGCAGGGCTGGACCCATAAAAGGCAGCCTGGCCTGTGATAGGTTAAAAGTAGCCCACTCCTCATGAAAAAGCAATAGCCCAGCCCAAAACTGATAAAAGGACCTTCCTTTCTTTGTTCCTCTCTCTCTTCTCTCCTCTTGCTCCCCTCCCCTCTCTCTACTCCCACCCCTTGAATAAAATCTGCAGTCGGACCTCTCCGTGTGTGTATGGCCTAGTTGTTGAATGTTACTATTCCCTTTCAAGTATACGGATGTTTTATCATCAAATATTAACTTTATACAAAATTAAATTTTATTACTTCTCAATGAAAATAACAATGAGACTGAAAAGTATTTACTATTCTCTTAATAAGTAGTTAAAGAGATTCTATTTCATACCAAATAATTTGGTGAGATTCTTGTATGTACTGTGTTATCATTTCACTGATTAATGTAAAAAATAAAATCCAACCTTATAAAAAACAAAAAAAGCAAAACTTCCTATAATTTTATTATCCCTTCTTCTACCTTTCATTAAATTAATAAGCTTTGCTATTTTAGAGCAGTTTTATGTTAAAAGAAACACTGAAAGGAAAGCAGTGTTCCCCTATATATCCTGTCCTCAAGCATGCACAACTCTCCTACGGCCACCATCATGTTACAAGTTGAAAGAAAAATCTACGCAGACATAGCATTTTCACCAAAAACCCACAGTTCATATAAGAGTTCCCATTGGTGTTACACATTTTATGGATTTTACAACGTATGACTAAATGCACCTACCACTGCTAGCACACAGAAAGGTTCCATTGCCCTACAAATCATATGTGTTCTGCCTACTTAAAATCCTTCCTTCCTACCTAATCTTGGCAATCAATAATCTTTGTATTGTCTCCATAGTTTAGCCTTTGCCAGCCAGAATAATAGGACTAAGACAGTCTGCAGGCTTGCTGCTCTCATTTGGAAATATGCATTTAAGAGTCTTCCATGGTTTTCATGGTTTTAGAGTTCCTTGTTTTTTAACACTGAATAATTCTGTTGTGTGGATATACCAAAGCTTATCTATTCTCCTATTTAAAAACATGTTGGTTGCATGCAACGTATAGCAGTTAAGAATACAGCAGCTGTGGGCCGGGGATTCAGCTCGGTGGTTCTGTTGCCTGCCTTGCAAGCACAAGGACCTGAGTTTAATCAGGGTACCTGCCTCTCAAAAAAGGAATACAGGAGCTGTATGTGTGTGAGAGAGAGTTTTTGTACAAATACAAATTTTCAGCTGGATTCTATGGTAACAGTGAAAGAAGGAAAAATACCAAACCAAACAAAACAGTGAATTTGTCCTGCAAAGTGGCTGTAGCATTTTATATTTCAATCAGCAGAGACTTCTTACTGTTATATTCCTGCCAACATTTGAGAGTTTCTGTATTTTGAATTCTGGCCATTCTAATAGGTGCTATATAGTGGTATTATAGCATGCTTTATTTTGTAATTCCCTACTAGCATGTGATTTTGAACATCTTATTTTTCCTATGCTCACTTGTTTTCTATATGTAGCTTCTCTGCTAAGGTATCTGTTCAGATCTTTGTCCAGTTTTTCACCAGGCTGTCATTTTCTTACTGAATTTTATGATTTCTTTACATATTTTGAAAAGCAATCTTTTATCTTTTCCAAATAATTCTCCAAGTCTATGGCTTGTCTTCTCATTCTCCTGACAATGTTTTTCACTAAGAAGTTTTTAATTTAAAAGTTCAGCATATTCTTCTTCCTTTCATGGATTATACCTTTCATATTATGTCTGAAAAAGTCATGGCAAGCCCACAGATTTCCTGTGTTGTTACTGATTAGTTTGTACTTTTATGTTTTGCTTTGAGGTTTGTGATTCACTTTCAGTTAATTCTGTGAGGTGCTTATATCTCAATTTATTTTTCTTGCATGGGGAAAAGCAGTTGTTCCAACATCACTTACTGAAAAGATTCTCTTTTCTCTACTGTACGGCCTTTGCTCTTCTAGCAAATTTCTAGTTTCTCTATTGTGTTCTATTGATCAATTTGTCTGGCCTTTGGCCAATACCGCACTGTCACCG